AGCTCGGCTCTTTCTAGTCTGTTGCTATCGAGATGCAAATGATTTTGTAATGAACTGGCAGACATTTTCCTCTATTACATTCTTTTAGATGAACTTGTGCGGCCTGAATCCACCGAAATGTCAAGGTTTTAACGAGTTAACGTCCCCTCTCAGTTAAATGTCGAAAAGCATCGGTATATTCCTCGCGGCCAGATTTTAATGTTCTGCCTCTCCTTTCGTCAGTTTAAAATAGGTCTTATCCTACTAATGATACTTTTCTAACTTGATGTGTTCTTCGCGCAGGCATTGTCATAAAGTTTTATCAAAGTAACAAGTGTTCAGAGTGGCTCAACCACGAAATACCACAAAGTTGCTCTTAGTCTTTGACTAATCTTTTGCTGCTCTAAAAATGTTCAATCTACCTAATAATCCTTATACAATAATTATTATAATCAATGAGACTACATGGTGCGATGGATAAACTGTCGTCTAAATTACGCCAAAATGAAAAAAACACTGTCATCTCTTTTTAACAGATAGATTTAACAAAATTTCCCCAAAATATCTTTAATACTAAAGAGTAAATTTATTTGAGAAAATCGTAATTGGCTACAACCACAGTCTCCAGATGACTTCCGAATCTCCTGCAACTTGTCTGGACGGTCTCCTTGTTTAAGTTTGTGAATTCTGCCATAATCCTTGCCTTCAGTTCATCTTTGGTGTTACAAGTTTTGTTGGTCTCTCACTCATCTGCGAGCCACACATAAATGGGGTTGCACTCAGGGGATCTAGGTGACCAGTTGTAAGGGGTGATGTGGTTGCAAAAATTGTAAAACAGCCATAACAGTGTTCGCCTGCTTGCGTGACATGGTGCAGAGTCCTGTTGCCATATATAGGGTATCCCGCAGCCACCCTCTTGACTTAATGCAGCATTACATCTTCAAAGCACTTGATGTAGGCCTGGGTTTTCAGTTTGAGGCCATGTGGGAAGATGAAAGTACAACGTCACCATCGATCAGAGTGAGTTTTTCATGCTTTTTTATCTTCGTAATCACCATTAGACCCATCGACCTCTTTCCGAATCCTCTGCAGTGTCTTACGATTGACACCCAAGTGCTCGTATTGGAGCGCCCACTTCAAATGGCAAGCAGTAGAACATGCCATCTCGAAATTTTGGGCACAATGAATTGTGACATGCTGCTTTTTTTTCTCACAGGCATCGTCCAAGTAACACTATACAGTGTGCAAAAAAAAATCGCATGCACGAAATTAAAAATATAAAAATGGCGACAATTTACCCATCCCCACCCCCGTATTGAAGCTAAGTAATTTATCTTGCCACTAAATTAGACAATTATAAGTCTACATTCCGTTCACCGATTGAATATTACTGTCGCATCTGATCTGGTGTTTCTGCTACGTATTTTGAGGTTCTTGATAAGATACACCGACGAATCTGCAATGTTAATGGTCCTGACCTATCATATCGGCTTCATTTTCCCACCGCCCTAACGTAGTACTAGATTCGCGGCAAACTCTCATAAGTTTAGAATTGAAACTGCTAGCTGTGTCCGTTAGTTCTAAGTTAATTGTTTTTATTTTGATTTCTTGCTTTTCAGTCAACATCGATCTTTAGATTCTACTCCAAATATTAATCGTTATATTCTGTCTTCTTAATTCTGTGCTTTTATTGTCCTTTCTCCTTAATATTTTTGTCTTTTCTCACATTTTCTTATATTCAGTAATCCTTTTTGATTCAGTTTCTTTATTGCTTCCGTTCGGGGGAAGTTATTAAAAACTCCTACAAACATTAATTACCTCTGCACAAATTGTAAAATATTTGTATGGTTTTTTCATACCATAATTTTTCCACGAAATCTTTTATCTCCCTTGTACCACCCTTCTAATCTTGCTTGTTAATAATTTACTGTTATTTTATCCACCTTATTCTTCGGCCTTCTCCAGCCCTTTCGATGCTTAATATCTTGTCAATTCTAGTTTTCTAATGTTACGTAAAAGATGCAACTTTCATGATTATCATAGAATTTTAATATGAGAAAAGTTATTTCTAAGTGGATGTTAAAATTTTCAAATTCGTCTTGATGTGTTAAAGGATGATGAAATTATGGTGAAAAAAGGTACTTTCAAGATTATGAAATGTGCATGCTAATTTTACTCTTTTACGTCTTGGTGGCGATTTATAGAATACTCCGTGAACCTACTTTGAAGAGGGACACATAGCAGAATTGGCTAAAAACCTAACCCGTGTCTAATATTTTGACTCCTGTCTACACCAAATCAATGTCTACATATTTACTTAGGTGTAGATTGACAATTCATTGTGATTTTTGTCCCATAAGTATTGCCTTTACATTCCACTTAGATAATTGTTATGGTCCGGTTCCTTGTACCACGGGGATAGTCCAAGGTAGAACCAATAAAGAAGAACTCGAACACGGATATGAAATAACACAGATATATTACAAGCAGGAATATATACAGAGAGGTAGAAAAGTGTTAGTACGAACAATCAGGTTTAGTAGTAATTGTCTGAACGTGACTCTTGTTTCGGATTGCCTCTGACTCGACTGACTGACTAGCTCTGACTGACAGACTCCTGACGGACTTCACTCCAGACTTCAGACTGAACGGTATTTAGTCACCCCCCTCTAGGGCATTATGTGAGACAAGGCCGGTTTAACGTGGAATCTCCGAGCCTGTGGGCTCGGCCAAAAATATGCCCTTTGAACCCGTATAAACGGGTTCAGGGTCGGTTTACCTCCCCGTAAGAGACTCCGCCCTTCGGCGTATCCTCGTTCGTGTTCCTCCCCGCCCGAAGGCAGAGAGTTCAACCGATCAGCCGGTCAACCGGTCGCCCGACTTCGGACTGAACTCCCTGCTTCCTCTTGAGCCGCAGTATTTATTACATATGGAATAGTCCATTATGTTATTATGGGTAAGGTCCTATAACAATAATCAAACATTGATATTATATATTTGATCTGAATAATCAATCATGGGCATCATATGTCCTTAAACAGCCTAGCTTTGGCGTACAAATCTTAACTTTATAAGACCCATAGATGACACTGATATCCTCTGATGGCAGAAAGAAAAAAAAAGAGTAAGACATTCTTCATAATGCAGGAAGGCGATGGAAGAAGAAAGGACTAACCCCCAATTATAGGAAGACGGAATTTATGGCCCTCAGCAAGAGTTGTCAGGAGAAATCAAATACAGGCACTACACAGTGAAAGGTGTCTTCCAGTGGCGAAGCAAATTATTAAGGAAATTCCGTTAGAGATAAAAAGGAAAGAATACTAAAGTGTAATGTAATATCGGTATCTCTCATCATACGTGAGGACATTGCCAGAAAAATGAAGTCGAGAAATATGGCTACAGAGATGTGATTCCAGAAAATATTTCTGTGAATAAAATAGGTAAAGCATGAGGAAAATAAAACGTGTACTTAGAATAATTGAAAATTCTGGGGGCAATTACAATGAAATTGGGATTTAGAGTATTTGACTGAAACTGGGAGTAATTATAGACAACAAGGTTTCAAGGGAAAATCATGTAAGCTATTTAATGTAAATGTATGGCAAAATTGTTGCTGGGAAGATTAGTTAAGGACAAAAGCTTTTCTTAAACGACCGTTACTCGAAAATTGTGGAGAGGCATGATCGTTCATGTGTTATCTAAAAGAATTCGAGTACCTTAAAGTAAGCAAACATTCTTGTCATAATGAATGAGTGATTAATAATTTATGTGACACGTCCCTTCAGGACCTGGACGAACCTAGTTCTCCAAAAAAATTTTATCCTTTGTGGCTGTGAGCAGATTTTCTCCCTTTGCTAAAGATTTCGCCAAATACTTTTTGCAATTAAATCATAAGCGCATTAGGACGGTGGCGCGTTGGCTTCTCCTATCTCTATTGGTCTATATATGCTCTGTGAAGATTAGATTTCCCAAGCAATCTACTCTCAGCATGTGAGCAAGAAATTGGGGTGCCTCTTAATGAATATTCATTTCGATGCCATTTTCTTTAAGATGTTTTCGTTGTTTACTCGATTCGTCCATAGAATTCTCAGTATCCTTCTGTAGAACGACATTTCAAACAAGCTTATATGATATCCAAGGAATTTAAGGAAAAATGATGATAGAAAGAAAGAATATTGTAAACAAAGAAGGAAAAGAAATATTGAAAAAGAAAGAAAAACACAAAGGAATGAAGGAAATGTAAAACGGAACAATCAAAGAAGAATAGAACATATTCAAAGAAGGCAAGGAAAAATGGAAAAAGAAAGAAAAGAAAAGAAAGAATGTAAAGAAAGTAAGAAGGAAATAATGAAAAAAGGAGAAAAGAAGAGAAAGAAAGAAGAATTTTAAGCAAAGAAAGAAATAATGAAAAAGAAAGAAGCCAAGAAAAGATTGAAAAGAAAGAACGAATAATGTAAAGGAAAGAAGGAAATAATGAAAAAGAAAGGAAAAAAGAAAGAAGAATGTAATGGAAAGAAAGAAAGAAATATTGAAAAACGAAAGAAAATGAATGATTGAAAGGTAAAACAAAACAATCAAAGAATACAACATATTCTAAGAAGGCAAAGGAAAATGAAAAAAGAAGTGAAAAAAGAAAGTAAGAATATAACGAAAAGAAAGAAATATTGAAAAAAAAGGAAAGAAAGAAAGAAGAATGTAAAGGAAAGAAAGAAAGAACGATGTAAAGAAAAAAAAAGAAAGAACAATGTAAAGAAAGAAAGAAATAATTAAACGGAAAGAAAAACGCAAAGAATGAATGGATGAACGGAAAAAAAGGGGGCAATCTATGAAGCGTATAACTGTCCAACGAATGCAAGGGAATGTGAAAAAAGAAAGAAAGAAAGAAAGAAAAAAAAAAAAAAAGAAATAACAGACATGAGAAAAAGAAAAATTCATAAATGGATTAATGAATAATAAAGAAGGAACAAGTAAAATAACAAAGAAAAAGATAGAAAAATGGTGTACTCAAATAACGTATCAAACTAATATAAGGAAAAAATGTAAGTCGAGTTAATGAAAGAAAAAATAGAGAGAGACGGTGAAAGAGAAAGATGGACAGAGCGAGAGAAAGAGGGCGAGAGAGAGATGGAAAGAGAGAGAGAGAGAAAGGGGGCCGAGAGAGATGGAAAGAAAGAGAGAGAAAGGGAGATGAGAGAGATGGAAAGAGAGAGATGGAAAGAGGACTGAGAGAGAGAGATGGAGAGAGAGAGAGAGAAAGGGGATTGAGAGAGAGAGATGGAGAGAGAGAGAGAAAAAGGCCGAGAGAGATGTAAAGAGAGAGAAAGGGAAGAGAGAGATGGAAAGAGAGAGAGAAAGAGAGAGAGAGAGAGATGGAAATAGAGAGAGAAAGGGAGTCGAGAGAGAGATGGAAAGAGAGAGAGAAAGGGGACCGAGAGAGAGAGAGATGGAAATAGAGAGAGAGAAAGGGAGTCGAGAGAGAGATGGAAAGAGAGAGAGAAAGGGGGCCGAGAGAGAGACGGAAAGAGAGAGAGAGAAAGGGAGTCGAGAAAGAGATGGAAAGAGAGAGAAAGGGGGAGAGAAAGGGAGTCGAGAGAGAGGTGGAAAGAGAGAGAGAGAAAGAGAGAAAGGGAGTCGAGAGAGGGATGTAAAGAGAGAGAGAGAAATGGAGTCGAGAGAGAGATGGAGAGAGAGAGAAAGGGGACCGAGAGAGAGATGGAAAGAGAGAGAGAGAGAGAGAGAAAGGAGGCCGAGAGAGATGGAAAGAAAGAGAGAGAAAGGGAGATGAGAGAGAGATGGAAAGAGAGAGATGGAAAGAGGACTGAGAGAGAGAGATGGAGAGAGAGAGAGAGAAAGGGGATTGAGAGAGAGAGATGGAGAGAGAGAGAGAGAAAGGGGGCCGAGAGAGAGATGTAAAGAGAGAGAAAGGGAGTCGAGAGAGAGATGGAAAGAGAGAGAGAAAGTGGGCCGAGAGAGAGAGAGATGGAAATAGAGAGAGAGAAAGGGAGTCGAGAGAGAGATGGAAAGAGAGAGAGAAAGGGGACCGAGAGAGAGAGAGATGGAAATAGAGAGAGAGAAAGGGAGTCGAGAGATAGATGGAAAGAGAGAGAGAAAAGGGGGTCGAGAGAAAGAGATGGAAAGAGAGAGAAAGAGAAAAGGGAGTCGAGAGAGAGATGGAAAGAGAGAAAGAGGGAGAGAAAGGGAGTCGAGAGAGGGGAAAGAGAGAGAGAGAGAGAGAAATGGAGTCGAGAGGAGAGATGGAGAGAGAGAAATGGAGTCGAGAGAGAGATGGAGAGAGAGAGAAAGGGGTCTGAGAGAGAGAGATGGAAAGAGAGAGAGAGAAAGGGGTCTGAGAGAGAGAGAGAAGGGGGAGAAGGAAAGAGAGAGAAAGGGAGTCGAGAGAGAGAGAGAAAGGGGGTCGAGAGAGAGATGGAAAGAGAGAGAGATAAAGGGGACCGAGAGAGAGAGAGAGATGGAAAGAGAGAAAAAAAGGGACCGAGAGAAGGGGAAGAGAGAAGAGTAGAAAGGAAATTTGAAAGCGGGAAAATGAAAACCGGTTTTAAAAAGAAATTACTAAAAAAAAAATGGAATAAAAAAAATGGGGAAAATAAAATAAGTTACTAAAAAAGATGAAAGAAAGAAAACACAACAGGAAAACGGACGAATAAAAGGGGGGAAAATTCCCAGAAAATAACAAAAGAACGACGCAAAGCTATAAGCGTCAGATATATGTGTAACGTGTTTTATGCAATCAAGGCACGTGCAGAAATAATTTAATGACACATTCTAAGCACGAAAGAAAACGAGGTCACAGCGATGGGTTCGAGGTTGATAAAGTTAAAAGAAAGAAGATGCGAAAGTGAAATAAAGCAGGGGAAAAGGAAGAAAGAAAAGGAAACATGCATAAAAAGGGGAGAAAAGAGAGGAAAATGTAATGAAAAAAATGTCTTACATCTTATACGTCGATCAATACTTGAAGTTGTTCTGAATGTAAATTTACGAAAGAATCTAATATTGGTTGTCACTGGAAGTATGGCCCAGTTAAAATAATGGACATCCTGCAACAGATTTATGGATAGATTTCTAAGATGAAGCACGTGCACAATGTAAACCTTATTGTTCCCCCACTGCGAGTCTGACGGTGTCCGTGTCAGAAAACCAATTGGCTGGCGTTGGACGCATCTTTAGAACAAAGCGCAACTCGAGTTTCTTATGTAAATTTGCCAATAACCACTTCTGCTGATTTTAAAAAAATGATCATATATTTTCGCCATTAACTTCAACAACGTTAAATATCTGAACATAATTCGACCGCCCAGAGAAGACTCTCCACAACTTCCTGTCTTTCGTTGCATTATATAACTTCAATCTGTGTCCCTGTTCTTCCCGGTGTTTATTTACTGTCGTAATTACATTTTCTTCAATTATATCTACCTTTATTTGCAATGGCAGGATGGCACTTATCAAGACAGGCTACGCATCAGGTTTCTTTATTTCCATTAACAAAGCGTTTGCGGTGATCTAAAACGTCAATAGTCTGTTGGTGAAAACGGGATATGGTTATTAGTCCTGGCTATGACGATAAACTAAATCCGCTATCAAGGCCTCTGATCGAGAGATATGAGGTTTTGAGGAGCATTGAACCACGTCTTAAATACTGTTATTTCCACGAACACGCTGACTCGAGCTGGCAGCATCTGTTAGCGTCCCAGCTCCAGGCAAACAAAAGCAAAACATTGAAACTATATTGGATTAAATAAAATAATCGCCCTGTAATGACGTACCCCTGAAGCTTGCGAAGAAGGCCAGCATGCTAAACACTATCAAACCCCTTAGAGATATCTAGGGTCACTGCTCGAGCTTCGCCATTATTATCAAGGGATTGGTATATAAGTTCAGTTATGGCCTTGATCATTAGGCGGAAACCATATTGTTTGTCAGAGAGAAGATCATAGGTTGTAAAAGTTGTTTAACCACTTCGGCGTTGATTAAAGCCTCGAAGACTTTGCCGAAGATAAATAGGAGGCTGAGTGGATGATAGTTTGATGTCTCGGAAGGGTCTCTAGTGTTCTTAAAACAGTGACAATAGATGAGGACTTCCAACTGGCTGGAAAGCAATAAACTCCGAGGCAATAGTTGTATAGTTTAGAGGGAACAGAAGAACATGGCACTGCAAGAACCCCGATATTACGCAACTATTGATCAGAGCAACCGCTCAAGTCGCTTCGTAAGAGTTCGGTCTAGCAGTCTGGAAAACCAACCAGAAAACTGTCAACACGAAGACAGTATGAAGAAACGTTGACACAAACCTCACACATCACAAGAGAACAGAACTAGTACAGTGGCCAGACAAAAGGGAAAGGATCCGGGAACCCCTTCCTAAATATGAAATAAGGGATATACTTCTACTCCTGTTCAAGTGAAGAGGAAGGATTACTGACCGGACGATAGGAAAGCCTATCTAATCCTACTACACACACACACACACACACACACACACACACACACACACACACACACACACACAAATAACCGACAAGCAACATCCAAGAAATACATGATCCACCTACGTGGTGCATAGTTGAAATTGAAATATAAAGTTTCAACTTAGTTGAAGTGCCAATATCCACTTCAAGTTGAAGACGAACACTCTGTGCGCCAGGAATAAAGATGACGTTCAATAATTGCATTAGTCATAAGAGAAATAAAGGAAGGATTCGAAAATTTAATATCCAAATTTTTCAAAAAAGGGGGAAGAGTAAATTCATTTCAATCAAGAAAGAAAAGAAAAACGTAATAGATACCTGAAATGGTTAACAATTAAATTCAAAGAAACGGATATAGAAGAATACAATCGACAACGATAACTAATTCACGTGCCTTCGGAGACGAAAATTAAGCAAAGAGTAACGTATTTCTTCTTTTTTTTCTTTTTCTGGCCAAATACTACGTTCGAATTTAGATCCCGAGACCCAGGGAGTTCGGTAGTGCCAATACGACCATTTACTACGTAAAGAAGTCGAAACACTTCCAGACTGGGGACTAGGAATTGAGTTAGTGTCCAAAACTTGCATGAAATTCAAAGAGCTAATATTGAAACAATGGTTTTAAAAAAGGTAGGGGTATACTAAATTCCCTTCAATTGAAAAGAAAATCTTTTAAAAAAATATCATTAGAAACAGCAAAAAAAAAGGACTTCATCTCAGAAATAACATAAGGGTGATAAAATCAAAGGAATATACTTAGCAAACTGGACCCTAATATTAAGTCTTATAATCTGAGTTCTTAATTTATAGTTGTATAAAAAAAATTAACGAATACGATTATTTCGTGTCACAGGACTTCTTGTAAAACTCAAAGAATATTTACATTCATTGAAAATTAAAGGGTAAACTATGTGAAAACGCTAGGAGACCTGTGAGGATCGAACGCAAAAACAATGTTTTAATCATGAATCTTATTTTCAGATCGGTCTACAACAGGTCTTTATAAATCAGCAATGTACATATTGAGTAAGATTAGGCAAGTTTGATTAACAAAAGTCTAACGAAATATGTCAATAGACTTGTACAACTGCCTTGTTCAACAACAAATGTCTATATCTTGCTGACAGATGCGCACAGACTTGAAGAAAAGCAATAAAGATTGCCAAGGAAGGAATCTTTACAATTATTTGAAAGATTATTTGGGAAATTAGACTTGGCAGGATTATCAGAAATTACTTTCTTTATGTGTAATTGTATTCCATTAAGATCCGTTCTTTTATTACAGCGCAGGACGGCATGTTTACCGCTTTCTTTCGCTCGCATGTATCTTTCTTTATTGGCTGTAAGAAATACATATCACTCCCAATGAACGTATCCCAAATTAACGTCAGTCGTAGACATATACTGCAATTCATATGATTGAGAAAGTTGATTTAGCAAAGTTAGTTGTCGCCAACATCAGGAAAACCATGGGAATAATTCAACAGTCATAAGACACATACGAGGTTAGATCACTTCCAGAGACATCTCGAAGTAGAGTAGATTTTTTTTCTTCCTGTTGTTTTGTTTTTAATAAGTTACCCATGTTCGGCTTCTTAGTTGATGATATAATTCTGGACAGTCTCACCACAGACTAAAAAGTAACTGGAACCAAGAGAAATGGGATTCTGCAGAAGGATATTGAGAATTCTATAGACGGAGCGAGTAAGCAACGGGGAAAATTTTAAAGACACAAGGAATGTGTTATGGGACCTTACCCATAATAACATAATGGACTATTCCATACGTAATAAATACTGCGCACCAAGAGGAACCAGAGATTTCAGTCCGAAGTCGGACGACCGGATGATCGGTTGAACTCTCTGCCTTCGGGTGGAGATGTACCCGAACGAGGCTACGCCGATAGGCGGAGTCTCTTTCGGGGAGGTAAACCGATCCTGAACCCGTTTGTAAGGGTTCAATGGGCATATTTTTGGCCGAGCCCGCGGGCTCGGAGATCCCACGTTAAACCGGCCTTGTGAGACATGATGCCCTCGTTGCGGGGGTGACTAATTACTGCTCCGTCTGAACTGAAGTCCGTCAGAAGTCAGTCAGTCGAGTCAAAGGCAGTCCGAAACAGAATCGCGTCCAGACAATTACTACTAAACCTGATTGTTCATACTAACACTTTCTACTTCTCTGTTTGTAATATATCTGTGTTATTGCATATCCATATTCGAGTTCTTCTTTATTGGTTCTACCTTGGACTATCAACGTGGTACAAGGAACCGGACCATAACAGTATGTCAAAAGCAAGAAAGATAGTTGAAAGCAGTAGGCAACCTAACTGGAGACGTTGTGGGGATGAATGCCAGGACGGGCGGGGCGGAAACTTTGCTAAAGAGACAAATGCTGCTAACGGACACGAAGTATAGAAAGTTGTGGAGCGTCCTGAACGCCAATGTCGCTGAAGAACACGCACAAGACATGTTTTCTCTCGTCAACTTAAAAGGTGATGACAGACACTTTTCTCAAATTAAGATATAAACTTTTATTTAGATTAAATTTAAAAATAAATACCCGATATAATATATATTACTGAAGAACTTAGGTGAGATAAAATTTATTTTACGACATAGCAATCATTGTTGAGGTTATTTAATAGTGAATTTCTGTACTGATCACCCAATGAGAATCGACCTCACGACTAAATATTAATAGTCAAGAAAACTAGCCTTGTTAAATATGACTCGACGCAGAGGTGTCTATGGACGAATATTGGTTTCCATTTCTTATAAAGAAATAAGCAACAAATTATAAAACTAATACCCTGAAGATATAATTCGAAAACATGGTGCTCTTTTTCTCATAGTCTGTGCCCAACGGAGCGTGCTATACTTTACATCCGACAAAATATAAAACAAACAACGCGCATGCGCGAAATTGAAAATATAAAATGGTGACAATTTACTCATCGTACCCTGTAGAAAATATATCGCTTTCTCGTTTGACAAACTTTTCATATCTTTCAATGCAAACGAACAGAAATTAAATGACATTAAGTTAACATTACAATTTCTCGATTCTTAAAGGCTCTCCCGAAACACGGGAAAATTAGAAAGGTGAGTGTTTAAGAAGGAAACGAAGAAGCCATGATTGAAAGTCAACGGTGGTGGAATTAACGTGCACGAAGAAGGAAGGAAAGATAAATATGAATAAATGACGGCAAGCAGATGGAATAAAGGAAATCAATGTAGTAAAATAAAGTAGGAAGAAAAAAGGAGAACTAACGAAATCTGATATCGAAAAGAAGAAGGAAGAAGCAGGAAAAAAGGGATGAAAATATACAAAAAAAGCGATAAAAATACAAAATGAAAGACAAAAGTATTAAATAAATAAATCAGAAAGGAAAAAATGAAGGAAAGAAATAGAGACTGTTTCGATAATATCAGACAAAAAGAAATAGGAATGAAACCAGCAGAAAGAAAAAAAAAAGATCTACCTGATGGCATCAGCTTTTAACTCGATATCTATTCGGATGGCAAAATTATTTACTCCCTGTTTGATGGGTTCGAACAGGTCAAATTGGCAGCTCATCTCCAAAATGAGCTAAAATCTACTGCTAAATGGGGCAAGGAATAACTAGTTAATTTTAATGCCTCCAAAACGAAACTGCACTCTATTAATCATCCTGTATGCTTTTTTCTGCCCACCCCCATCAGCTTAACTTATGCTAACCACCTCGTGACTCGTTACGTCTACTCGAGCTAACATTCTCTGCTGATATGAAGAAAGACCCAATCATTTTTTCTTCTCCGGAATATATCTTGCCTATTTATATGTCTACCATTCTTCCTTACTTTGAATATTGCTGTCATATATGGCTTAGTGCTTCTGCTCTATATTTATATATTTTTGATAAAATCTAAATAAGTATATAAAGCATTTCTTCAAGCTAACATCATTTGTAATCTTCTGTTTCTTGACGTTGCTGCATTAACATCACTAGAGAAAGCCCAAGGATTTATCAAACATTTCTCTGTTGCATGCAAAGCTTTCCGCCTTACCATTAACATAAAGGAACTGAAGGTATTCCACCAAAATACTTGCTTGTCTAAAGCAGATTTTAGGCGTCAAGCAACTTTCTCAAGTTCATCAATCCCTTATACAAATTGACGGGAATAACTTGAAGTATTTGAAGTCATTGACATATTTAAGAAGTAAGATGAATGGGAATGCATTTCTTCATGGCGAAATAACAAATCAGATCGTCAAAGTTACAAATGCATTTAGGAATTTCGCTATCGCCTATGGAAGCAGAGACGTATCAAATTGAACACCAAAGAACGGGTTTTTAGAGCAGCCGTTTTGACTACACTGTTGCACGGCTCAGAATCGTGAATCCCATATAGGCCCCATATCAGCCAGTCTTCCACAAAAGTTGTCTCCGCCAGACTATATTTTTGACAATAGGGTGTCCAATGCGGGTCTTCTCGCAAAATGCAACATTGGTGGAATGGAGACTTTTCTGAGGCTGGTCATTTCGCAAGGATGAGTGATGACAGAATACTTAAGGCGATGCATAGCCAGCTTGACGGCCGTGGCTCAGGTTTAAAGACAAGTTAAGTTACCATATCTTATCACACTTAACAGCAAGCTCCACCATTTCATTATATCCAAGACACTTCTATACATATTGATTTTGACTGATGGGAAGAACTTGAAGTATGTGAAGTTATTTACATATTTGGGAAGTAACATGATTGCAAATGTATCCCTTGATGATGAAATAACAAATCGGATTGCTGAACGTACAAATAAATTTTGAAGAAGCAACATTTTCCTTGCGCTCGAAAACCCTTGCTAAAAATGAGTGATTGCCTGACCTGCCGCTTGATGTGTGGAATGAAATATCTGCTAGTGAAATTCCTTGCCCTCGACCGCAAAGATTCTGATGTGTGACAAAAGACTTTCCTCCGTAGCCGAATTTAAGTTTTCAGGTCCTATAATGCTAAAAACCAGCCTGTTGACTTCGGACGAGCATGTCGTTCTCAATTCGTTGTGTATTTCAACTTGGCTTGGTAAGATTACAAATCTCCTTAGGCAGACTGAAAGCGTTAAGTAATCATGCCCAGTCGTTGTCCGGTGCATTAGATTCAATGTCTGTTTTTTTTTTGTTTTGTTTTGTTTTGTTTGTGGTGTATGTTTGCGTCGCTTTGGGGCTTCCGTCCCTCCGAAACGCGTTAATTTCCTTTTGTAGCTCTTATCATGCCTTGCATGCGTTGAATAATCAAATCAAGGGTTACGCCTAATGCAGATGATATGCCTCATTTTGTTAAGATCCCGTTCACGGCACCTTGTAAAATAACCACAAAAGCAATGTTAGAAGTAGAGATTTGCCTGACTCCTCCGACTGAGTCAGGTTTTGACACAAGGTCAATTTCTAACGTAAGGACCCGAGTGTTTCCACGAGAGGTGCTAGTCTAAGATGGTCTTAGCTGGTCATAGCTTGTCCAAGCTGGTCAGAGCTCGTCTCAGCTAGTCATAGCCGTGATAACACCTTTTCCAGTTAAGGCGATTTATTGTTCCCACACTGAGTCAGGTTTTGACACAAGATCGGTTTTTAACGTGGGAACCCGAGTGGAAATACTCAGGCCGCTGGTCTAAGCTAGTCTTAGCTGGTCACAGATCGTCGAAAGAAGTCATAGCCGTATTGCCACCAGTGCCTGTTAAGTATTTATAGTTTTTTTTTCTAAGTGTAGCTGGGTTGTGGCACAAGGCCGAAAGTATGGGGTAGCTAGTGAGGATCGAACAAATTTTTTCAGTCGTAACTAGTCTAGCGAGACAAACTTGCTAATCATTACACCACGCCGAGGTGCCCTCGCCACCACCAGGTAGTAGTAATTCTTGTCCTTGGCCACTCAGCTGTTTATATAACTTTGGACGAGGTAACTTATGTCAGCCTGTCCTTCATTATCAACGCTATATACATGAGAAAAGGAAAGAAAAAGAAAGAAGGGAATTAATTAAAAGAAAAAGAAAATGGACAACATACAAACAAATAAAGAAGCAAATGAATTAAAAAAGTAAAGAAAAAAGAAATAAAAAATTAACAATCAAAGAAATTAGACAGACGAACAAAACAGTAGAAAAAAAAAGAATTGCATGAAAGAAAGAAAGAAAGAAAGAAAGAAAGAAAGAAAATATTGAAAAGAGAAAAGGGAAGTATGCAATACAGGAAAGAAAAGATGATAGAAATTGGAAAATACCAACAAAAAGACGATAAAAAGAGGAAATAAAAATTCAAGCGGAAAAAAAAAATGAAATAAGAAAGAAACGAATAAAAATCCAGGAAAGAAAATAATGAATGCAACTGAACAATGAAACATAAAATCCGATTAAATATCGAAATCGTAATCAGAATTTTCAATAAACAAGAGATAAACAAATTGCCACAGCAAAACCTAACAAAAGATTTTTAAAAAGACGTTGCAGAGCATGTTTCTCTAATTAGTCAACACGATATGACCTTTGAAAATTAAAATCGATACCAATTTTACACCAATTAAATTTTACTTTAAAATCAAGGCCAACATGAGAATTATTTGGCGTTTTGCAGATTACTGCAAATGTCTTAAAGGATCAATAGTAATAATAATAATAATAATAATAATAATAATAATAAAACCCAGCATGACAGTGGGCCAATATCTGCATCGGAAAATATGCAACTTTTATGGAAATGAAACTGCAGGAAATTGTATTAGATTTCTTCCCGTGTGTTAATCTTACCAAATATTTTTTCGTCTTGCCGTGTCGGAATAGCAAATAGAGCCTACGCCTTACGAACGTCTTTATCCATGTAAAAATATCTCTACTTTTAGGTTTATTTTTTTTTGTACATTGAGGTTTTATTTTTTCAAAAAAATGCTCGATGGGAAATGTCATGATGTTTTTCTGACCTTAAGTCTCTGGTTGGGATCCTCAACTAAATGACTATAAAACTGAGATCAAAGGAAATAATAATAATAATAACAACAACAACAATAATAATAATAATAATATTGTGTCAGCCCAAAATGCAGATTCTGTGATAAATATCCAGAAACGATTGATCATCTTGTATCAGGTTGCACGATATTGGCACCCACTGAATACAAAATCCGGCATGAAAAGAGTGGAAAATCTGCAACTTCTACGGGAAGGAAACTGAAAGAAAATGGTAACGGAGATAGGACCTGTTACAATTCTATGGGACTACACAATACACATTGACAGAATAATCAAAGCCAACCGCCCAGATATTGAAACAAAAAAAAAACTGCCTCCTTATTGATATGGCAGTCCCTGCTGACTGCAATGTATCTTTGAAGATATTCAAAAAGCTGTCAAAATACAAGGACCTTGAAATAGAAATCTCAAAAATGTGGCATATGGGAACATCAACAATCCCTGTTGTAGTTGGAACCCTAGAACTGGTTGGAAAAGATTGCAATAGACTAATTGAAGGGATTCCTGGAAGTCCATGCCTCAAGGAGATACAAAAAATGATTCTGACAAGTACAGCCCACACTTTACGAAGGGCTTTATCGATGTAATTTTTTTTTTTTTTTGTCAGTGGAAAGTGTCATGATGCCATTTCTAAACTTAGGTCCCTGGGCGGGACCGGGAAAGAAATGTGTAAACGCCAGAAATCAAAGGAAATAACAATAATAATGATGATGATGATGATGAAACTGCTGACCATATTATCTGAGGATCGGCAGAACTATCAAAAAATCAATATACCCACAGACATAAAAAGGTAGCAACATATGTGCACTGAAAGATATACTAAAAGAAAAAACTGAAACCACTGAGAGATGACATGAGCACCAACCAAATGATAGCCAAAATAACGATGTAACTACCCTCTGGGAAATTCCAATTTAAACTGACATGAAAATAAAGGCCAACAGACTTTATATTATCAGAAAACACAAGAAATGGAGGAAGTTTACGCTTACTAAAATAGCAGTACCATCCGAGAAAAGAAAAAAAAAACTCCATACAAATTATCGAGGAATTTTCCAAATACAAGGATTTAGGGATCGAGATTAACAAGATGTGGGGAATGAAGACTGTATCAGAGTTCTGGATCCGTGAGAAAAGGAATGGACAATTTTACTAACAGTGTCCCATGCAGCATCAACACACAAATTGGCTAGAAGATCGCCCTACTAGGAACATCTCATATACTACGAAAAGTGCTGTGAATTAAATGACAATTCTCCTATAGAGCCTAAGGACTATAGTTTGGACCCATCTCCACAGAATACCAAGCAGAAAACATAAATACTACTACTAATACTAATAATAATAATAATAATAATAATAATTTACCACGCTCTTCGGTCGGTAATTTAATTCTCGTTGGTTGTCTTAGACTTCTTGTAATATTTTGGCATCTCGCCGCGTCGAAGTTGTAAGCAAGCTAGTCGAAAATAGTATTATGACTGATTTTGGTCTTTACACGTGGAGCTCCTACATCCCCTTACAATATCCGTATGATCAGCCAAGGAACATTTAGCTGTACGTTGGAATTCAGTAAGCAACATTTGGTTCAGATGCAGTGTTTAATTTAAGTCTGTGATACAGTATTTCGGAGGCGCATTCCAATAGCAAAAAGACAAAATGAAAACATTTTAGGTAATTATTTTCGGTCGATTTTAATTGATGAAGCTGTTCAAAGACATGTTTTTATTTTATTTGGCACTGTTCTTTGTTTGTGATTATGTAGCGCCTATTCACAAGGTACGAACATTGATGGTGCTCTCAAACATCTACAGGTTTCATTCGTTTGAAATCGTTTTTATCCATTGATCTAAGGGGTAGCACATAGTTGACAGTTTAGATATCTCTGAATGACACATATTATAATGATAATTCTCAATCGCGAATATTCTGAGTAGGTTAAGACTTAACGGGAAAATAATCGGTTCATTCTACCGCTCCAGAAATCACATTATTCAACTTGGCATATTTTACAAGAATCAGAGTAAACAAAAGATGGTGTATCTTTTATGTAATGGATAGCGGTTTGGATTGAGGAATCAGAAAGTCGAGCTCGAATTCCATTATCCATTACATTCACTCACGTACTAACCCCCTTAACAAAGGTATGAATCTTCTTCTTCTCCAATTCCTATGATAGCAGTACAGACTGGTTTTTATAGCTTTGGGTGCCAACAGGTCGAGAGGAAAGTAACTCTGAATTCAAAACTGTATGTAGCCCTAGCATAGCATATACGATACTGCTAACGAAATGATCGGTCGCATTGGCTCGATGATCCTGACTACGGCCGATGTATAGATAGTAGTCATTTCACCCAAGCAAGTCGGTAAAATCACTAATAAGCATAGGGATTACAGGGAGTGAAAGTGAAAGTGAAAGTGAGAGCTGAGAATAGTGAGGCTTTAGAAAAGGACAAACAATGAAGATAGCGATTGACATTAGTTTTGAAAATTGTAAATAGCAGTTATTGCCAACATATATGGCGGTATTAACTAGTCCTCTCTTTTCCACTTTGATACAGATCAAAGCCTTCTACGCGCATTTGTTGGGGGAGACTTATTCTCCACAGTGCAGCTACTTTCTCGCAAACGCCAAACGCCGAACCCCAAACCTCACCGCTACTCGATCTCTGATTCCATGGCAAATATTCAAATGAGCTCTGTTCTTTAGTTCCACCATCATCAGGCCTTTACATGTAGGACATGACATGCTACGATATCTAAATCAAATCACTGTAATTCATTCTTATTTCAAATGTAAGGAAAAAGTTACACTCGGCTAAATATACCCAATTACTTTTGTATTACATCAGTGCTTCCATGAACTATGCAGTTAGAATTGCTTCATACCAAGGATCAATTATTGAATATCCACTTTATACTCATAATCTTCACATCCTAATATCTGCACTTAAATTCATACCATAGAGTTCATTAATCCCATCAAATTTAACGGTAGACTTCTACAGTGAGTGACCTTCCTGTCGTATACATAATTAATACAATCTATTTTGTGCGCACGTATTTCTTGTATACCTTTTGGTTGTTTTTTCTTCACCGGCAAATAAACCATTTGGAGGTTGTTTAATGCCAAAATCTAAATATTTTAATTCGTTCAGTTTGGTTATTTTTCTTTAACGGTAAATCAACACCTACGGGTTATTTAATGCCGAAATCTAAATATTTTGATTGGTTTGGTTTGGTTATTTTTCTTTAACGGTAAACCAACACCTACGGGTTATTTATTGCCGAAATCTAAATATTTTGATTGGTTTGCTTTGGTTATTTTTCTTTAATGGTAAACCGACACCACGGGTTATTTAATGCCGAAATCTAAATATTTTGATTGGTTTGCTTTGGTTATTTTTCTTTAATGGTAAACCGACACCACGGGTTATTTAATGCCGAAATCTAAATATTTTGATTGGTTTGCTTTGGTTATTTTTCTTTAAAGGTAAATCAACACCTACGGGTTATTTAATGCCGAAATCTAAATATTTTGATTGGTTTGCTTTGGTTATTTTTCTTTAACGGTAAATCAACACATACGGGATATTTAATGCCGAAATCTGAATATTTTTATTGGTTTGCTTTGGTTATTTTTCTTTAAAGGTAAATCAACACCTACGGGTTATTTATTGCCGAAATCTAAATATTTTGATTGGTTTGGTTTGGTTATTTTTCTTTAACGTTAAACCAACACCTACGGGTTATTTAATGCCGAAATCTAAATATGTTGATTGGTTTGGTTTGTTATTTTTCTTTAACGGTAAACCAACACCTACGGGTTATTTAATGCCGAAGTCAAGTCTTACAAATTAACTCATACCTGAGGTGTGTTCCCAAGAGTAATTGCGCGCAAGTGATTATAACGAACCCAACCGGAATTGAAACTCGGCGCTCCTCATATTAGGTATAGTTTAATATATGAAGAAAAAATTCCGTTCTGTGGTCTCTGATTGGCATCTTTTATTCTTTTCATTTCAAAGTAAACGATTTCAAATATTTCAACTACTCACGTTTTCTTTGCATCCAGTGCCCTAATTACTTTCAAATAATTATTACAGTTTTTCATTTTAATTGGAGAATTGGCATCGACTGGCAGAATTATGCAATCTCCTGCGACTGACATACTTTTCTGCTGATTGTTTTATAACAATTCCATCACCTGGCCGCTTATACCACACCTTTCATTATCCAGCAATTATTTTTTTCCCGAATTGAAGAAGATTGATTTTGGGTGCAAGGCTGAGGAGCTGCAGGGAAGACAAATCGAGAACAATTGTCCGGAGCTAAATCGCTTACAGATCAAATATTCTGAAGCCCGACCCACGCC